TTTAAAAATTATATGGAAACATATTCAGTCAAGAATAGTAAAGATAATCTGGAATAATGAGGAACAAAGCAAGAGGACTTACTATACTAAATATCAAGGACTATTACAAAGCTACAGGAATGAAGACAGAATTATTTGGTACAAGAACAAACAGATCACCCAAAAAGAATAAGGCAAAAAAAAAAAATCAACCCTCAGAACACACAGAAAAATTGATGCCTAATGACAATGGCATTGTATAGTAGTAACACAGTAAGTGGTGCTGAATCCTTGTATGGATTCAATACACTGGAATGCTACTACACAGCAATGAATATGAGTACATTCTACAACACGGATGCCTCAAACCAAAATAGAATGTTGAGCAAAACAAAGTAGACATACATACACACTATGATTACGCAAAGTTCAAAACCATGGGAAAACCAACCTATGGGATTACAAATCAGAAAAGTAGTTAGCACTGAGGACATGGGAGGGAAAGCTCTGGGGGAACACCAGAGAAACTTCTGGGGCTCTACTTCTATTCTCTGTCTTGGTCTCGGAAGTATTTACACAGTACTCACTTAGGAATAATTCATAACCTGTAACCCTCATTATGATGCCAGGATGGTGGAGTCAAAGAATGAACTTCACAAACACTCAAGGTACGAGAAAGAGTAAGGCAGAAGCTTTTATTTAGAGATAAAGTTAGAGGGCAGGGCTCCTGGCTCAAGCCAGGAGGGGACAAGAGAGCCCAGGGTGGTGTGTTGTTTAGGGGTTTTATAGGCGGCTGAGAGACAAAGGACTAGGGATGCACACCTGCTAAATCCCAGAGGTTTATCTCTTAAGAGACATTAAGTATCTTATTAGTCTTCCAGGTAATTTACAAGAAATTTACTGCTCTGATTTCCAACCAGGATAGCAGCTTCCTGGTCTGGGAGCATATCAATCACGACTGGTGTGCTTTGCTCCCAAGGTAGGCTGAGTTATTGTCTATTTGTTAAAGAGTATGTTTAGAAACTTTTTTTTAAAACTAATTTAGTTTTAAAATGCAATCCTATCTTCAAGATGGAATCCTTCCTGTTTTTACTAGCTGTTTTGGGCTTGCTTGTTAAATTGCCCAGATTGCAAATCACTTGATTAGGGCGAGGAAGAAAAGCAGCACCTGGGTAAAGTCAGAAAAATAAGCTGGGTCCCCCAGCAGGCCAAAGCAAATCTCACAATGGATTATCTTGCTTGGTTTTTTTCCGGAGGCCCTCACCATACTCTGTATAAGCCCATGGTCCCTGTCTCAATCATTTCTACATATTTATGAAAGTATGATATACTTTAAGAAAAAATTTTAAAGTGTTTGTAGTCATTTGATACTGATGGATAACACACTCACAAATTGAGTGGCCTATGACAAAATCCATTTATTTCATAGTTGCCATCAGCCAGAAGTCCTGCCTAGCTCAGCTGAGCTTCCGGGGTGGGGCAAATTTAAAGTGCCCAGGGTCACTTGCATACAGGAAACCTTCTCACTAGAGCACTTGAATCCATTTCTGATATGGTTAGGGTTTTACACTTGGGCCTCCCTCCCTCCACTTGCACTTAATCCATTTCAAAACCAGTAAGAGCCATGAAGAATGCCTGGATGCAATAAATACAAAGTCCACTTAAGAAGCACTTGTAGATGAGAATCTCCAGGTCTCACGAAACAAAGCAGACCCCAGCTTGTGTTCTCATGTCTCACGTCTAGGGGTCTGTCTGCCCATCTGTCTGTCTGCTGGGGCCACTAGCCTCAGCCTGGTCAGCAGGGCATCAGGAAGCGACTGCTGCCTCCCCATCAGCTGTTTTTTGGTAACACTAATATGGCACTCGGCATAGATTACTGGGTTTGTATTATCTGGGGAGAAGAACAGGTGCCGGAGCCCAACCTTGGAGATCTCTGTCTCCCCTACTGTGCTCAACACCAAGGAGCTGGCCAGTTAAATATACGCTGGATTTCACTGGAAAGAGCAAAATTCCAGTGAGAAAGAATTCTAAGCCATTTCCATGTCTAAATTCAAATCAGACTTTCTCTTCCCTAACATGGCTTCCAGGAAGGGCATCAAGATGATCTGGTTTTAGTATGGTGAATTCAATTGAATAAGTTGTCCAGAACTGAGTGTTGCTTGGAGTACATAAGATGCATTTTTCTTTTCTTCATTGTTGCGGGGAGGAGGCATTCTTCGTTGTATTTCCTGGCTCTGGATAGCGGAAGCAACTTGTCTTCCTGTGGTGCCGGGGCCCCACCTGCTTTCAGGAAACTGAGACAGCGTTTCTGTTCCCAACAGACAGGGCAGTGCAGAAAGATTCAGCCAAAAGGAGAGCAGCCAGGACAGGCCTCAAGTTCACCAGTGGAAACAGAAAGCCACTAATTTATTCATAAGCAGTGTGGGAACGTTGGGGTTTCCATGGCCAGGATCCTCACTGAACTTAAACCACCTGATGATGTAACTGGCCTGCTGCTAGGCTGCCGCTTCCACACCTTTAGGCTATAACCTATTATTGCGCTATATAGAGAGCTCGGCCCAGTGCTCTGGGTGGAGGCAGAGACGCTAGTGCTCCACCTGTCCCCGGGAGAACAAGCCGGATAATAAACCCTTTCACCCCAAAGAACGCTTTACTGTCATTTTTTTTGGTCACATTGAAAGCATAGCGAACTTGCCCGGGGCTGAAACCCATTAGCAGACAACAGGCAAGAGCGCCACTTCAGCAAATGTGTTACTCAGGCTTCGTTGGAAGTGGCGGGCACTGGGCTGGGTGGGATTTCGTGCACCGCTCAGCTGGCGGAGTTCCCCAGCCCACGCACTGTTCCCCCACTCTGGCCTGCATGTGTAGGGCACAGCGACAGAAGACCCAAACTGTTCCTACGAGTTCTATCATAAAAGTAGGCTTTACCTTAAATTCAGATATTTGTGCTACAGAAATGACTGTTCTTTCAATTCTCTCTTGAATTGGGGTTTAATTCTCCATGTCCTCGACCTCTGAAATAAGTTTGAATTGGCTTTTTAAAGCTAAAATCTATCCCATTTCTAAATGTGTTTTCTTCCTTGAGTGTTGGACAGACACTAGAAGTCTGTTTCCTTAGAAGATTTTTTTTTTTTTTGGTTCAACTATTTTTGGTTGGTTGGATGGTTTTAAAGTCAAGTGCTTTTTTCTATGATTTTAAACACACAATTCTGTCTCTCCTGCCCCCACATCCGGCTTCCAAAGCATCTGGCTAAGTTCCCCAGTCCTTCCTGAATCTCAGCAGGCCACTTGGGGCATTTCACAAGCTGAAAGGTCACAGGAGGGGCTGAAGCACAACAGGAATTAAGCAGCCAGCTGCGGTAGAGCTTGAGAGGCTCTAGGTAAATGCGCCAATTCTCTAATGTGGCCTTACCTGCAATAAAAATATTTTTAAATTTAATTCTGCCAAGATGCAGGTGTAGAAGCAAATAACTGCTCTTCCCAGCACCTGTGGACCCCTCGCATTCACGCACATAGGCACTGGGTCTGACACGGCCTCGGATGCTGCCAACTCGCCCTGCCGCGGACTAGATTCAGTGCTCACAGACGCGTGAAAACAAGGGCAGAAACAAACCACACATGCTTGCCTGGCGATACTAGGCCCGCGCCAGGCTTTCGCTTTAGAAATTCGAACTCAATGATACTTAGAAATGACTCAGGACTTCCGACGTACCTGGAGCACCGAGTCGTTCGGTGGAGGATTCCGGCTTAGGGATGCACCTCTCCGACTGCAGGGCAGCCACCAGATACGCGCCTTCAGAGGGGCATGGGACACATCTGCATCTGGGCGCTCATTCCGCTGGGGGTCGGGAGGCACTGTGAACGCTGGGAGACCGATAAAATCCAAGTGGGACCCAGTGGCGAGGCAGGAACAGCCTCCCAGGCCGAACTGCCGTGCTTCTAGCCTCCTTCTGGGCGCAGGCCTGACTCTCCTCCGACTGAGGAACCCGGGCGGCCGATCCTCAGCAGCCGTGGGCGGGGAGGCGCAGCCGCCTGCTCAGCCCCGCACATCCCAGCCGCCCTCCCCGGCCCGGCACCCGACGCCGGCTCCCGCGTCCTTCCAGCCGCGGCTGGCAATTCGGGTCCGCCTGGAATTTACACTCACTCAACACCAACCAGGCCGAGAACACCTCAGGGGCCCCTCCTGAACGTGGATCTCGATTGCGAGCTTCCTAACCTTTCTCCCCACGCACCTGCCTCCCCACCGACGGCGACTCACTCACACCCTTTCTGGCCCTCTGACAGTGCCCAGGGCAAAACAGGCGGCTCCCAACACCTTTCTTGGAGAAACAAAGATGAAAGCAAATTTCAATAAGTAAAATTTGGCAGTAAATTATCAAACGGCTTGAGAGACCCACATGTGCTGTTTCGGGTTTCCTCAATAAAGCAATTACTTTCCACCGATCCTCCCACCTGGAATCATCCACTGCGCAGAGTAATTGACGTCGTTTTTGTTTTTTTTTTT